AAAACGCAGATTAAATCATAAACATATATCAAGTAGTTTCATCATCAAAATACGAGATTCAACAGGAACAAAATCTTGGGTAATCTGCATTTTAGTTTTCTCAATGATGCAAATACTTTCCCTTTGGTCTAACATTAGTAGTATTCCTGTCAACCTGTAAGTTATCTAATTTCTATTATGTGATGAAATGGTTCTCCGTGCAATTTGTATGCTAGTTTTTTTCTGAAGATAACTAATAGATGAGCATGCCACATGAAATGTGGGAGTATGGCATAAATACGTCTTTCTCATGTCACTTATATGTGTGTAGGTAGCCTAACCTCTGACATTCATCATGCTTTGTTTATGACTCAAGTGCTAATTTTTAAATCATAATTCAGGATCGTGTGCGTACTGAAACATACAGAGCTGCTATCATGAGGTATCAACATTTAATTTCTGACAAGGTAATATTTTTTGCAGTTAGTATAAAAAAAGTTGCAGTTATCAAGAAAATTGAATGTGGATTTTCAGTTTGATTCTTCCGTAACAATCATCATCTATAGGTTGTTCTGGATGTTGGCTGTGGTACCGGAATTCTGGCTATCTTTTGTGCTTTTGCTGGTGCCAGACGGGTAAATGCATCTCACTTTATTCCCAACTTTTTTCTATATAATGTATATGATATTTATCTTTTTCTTGTATTAAGTTGTAAAGTGTAACTAGTAGTCATTCTGCTTTGTCAAGTAAAAATAAGTCATTCATCATGTATCTTGACTATGCCAAGGTTAATGTATTGTGAGCTGATGTTGATAAGTTAAAGGTATTTTGCTGACTTTTTGTCTGGACCATTTGTTGGCAAACAACACAATTTACAGTGCAGGCTGGAACCATTTAGTTGGATGCCTCAAGAGATTTAGTTCCAGAAGAAAGAATCTTATGTTTGGTGTCACTGACATTTATCTTGCTTATATTCAGTAAATGTGCCTGCGACATGTTAGAATATATTCAACTAATATAAACAGTTTTGGCCTAAATACAGCAGTTTTTATGAAGAAATTATCTTCTGGATTTATTATAATTACATGCAAGAGAAACTTCAAAGTTTCTGCACTTTTGGAAGGTTGAGAGAATTAAGGGCCCATTCGTATCACCAAAAGTGTACCACCAATGTGGTTGTTGGTTAAATGACCTGTGATCCTCTGTTTTTGGTTCATCAATAGTGGACTGGAATTTCAGAAGCCGAATTCCATCCAAGGACTGTCATGTGATGTTGACCGGTGGTATAGGTCCCTCAGCGGACCGGTATGTAGTGGTCAGTACTAGTTTTTGGAAAAAGACCAAAGAATGGCCAAAAAAAAAAATCAGTTTAGGATTTTCCCCTAATTTATTGGTATATAAATTATATTTAGATAAGAATAAATTGTGTCTAAGCCACAAATGAATTGAAATTCTATATTGTAAGGAGGAAAAATTGAATTTATCTTTACAGATCCGTCGAGGAATAACTTTGTCTCGCAAGCCTCCATTGAAGGAAGTTGCTTCCCTTGATCTTGAATTAACTGATGAGAAATTTTAATCACAAGAGTGTGAGAAAGAGAGGATGAATGAGAGTCAGTGAAAGAGGGGGAGGTAGGGGATTTAAAGTCCAAAAGAGGCCCCAATGTTCAATTTGACCATTGGGATCAAACTAAAACTGATTTGGCTCAGTATCGGTTAAATTCTGATCGGTGTAACAAGCAGTTTTCAATCAAGCTATCAGGTTTCAGTGTTTCAGTTCTTTCATGAAGTCAGCAAGTTTCTTGAATTACTAATTAGCTAAAGCTACTTTATTAATTCAATCTCTTATACCCAACTTTCTCATAGCAAAGGGATAACATTCATGAATATACTAGAAATAAATGGGTCTCAAGGTTTCCCTTGTTTTTTTAATAAGCTTGGTCATTACTAATGAATGAGTTATATAAAGACACATGTCAAGAAATTTGAGATCTTAAACTTTTTATTTTTGTCAAACTAAGTTGCAACAAACTTACTTTTCTTAGAAAATGTATCTGTTAGAAACTTACTTTTAATAAGCTTGGTCATGTGTTTGGTGCATTCACTTAAAACTAGGCAATGTTTGCAATCAGTTTCATGATTATAATCTTACGCTAAATTGCAATATGTGGCAAACTAAATGAAATCAATATTGTTATATACATCCAGAAACATAAAGAAAGAAAGGAAGGAAAAAAAGAAACCCTTGTATTACTGTATATGATGACATTATTATCTTAATATATCGCTAGAGATTTATTTTTAAATGCAGAATGACTCAAAACTTTGGATTTTTACTGTAAATTTTGTCAATCAAAGTTATTTTTCAATAGGAAGAGGAAAAATATTCAGATCTGGAACAGTTAACAAATTGGAAACTATTAATTTGAATGTTGATTGCTTTAGCTTTGAACCGCTACATTGACATTTCTTCAGTTAAGCGCAATATGAAATTTCATATTGCATGCATGTGCTTACTTTTCCCTTAAAATTTTAATTTGCTCGAGTTATTCATTGCTATGTTAGATATATTTTATTAATTCATCTTATGCACTGTAGGTGTATGCAGTAGATGCAAGTGAAATTGCAGTGCAGGTAATTTCTAGTTTTCTATAATCAATTTCATTTAAGATAAATTGCTGTGAGAGAGGGTGACTCCTGTATTTTTCCTTCTGTTTAACTATTTATCTTTCTCTTTGGGAAAAAAAGATAAATTGTTTCATAATGTTTGAAGCAAATCAGCTGTTGTCTTTCTTTATTCCCTTTACTGTGGTTATTATCAATGCATGATTCATATAGTTGTCTTGGAAATATTCTAAAAGGTGTTACAATCATGCATGTATTTTCCCAATCCATTTAGGGGTATGTTTGATTAGTTAAAGGTTGATAACAAAAAGTTGCACTTTTGGAAGTCTATAATTATAAATAATTGGGTTTATCTGAAATAGTCTTGATGCATAAAGAGCTGGGATGTTTGAGCGGATAGAGGATGAGGGTGATGGTCAATTTAAGTCTTCATGAAATGTTTAGGCCCACACAACAATAAGCTTTGTGGAGTGATATTATTAGTTAAATGCTGATAACAAAAAGCTGGGATGTTTGACCAGATACAGGATGGGGGTGATGGTCATTTTGAGTCTTTCATGAAATGATTTGGCCCATACTGTTAACCAAGGTCTTCAATTTCGGGTGGTATGTATCGGTTCGTCAGCAAACCAGTACATGGACCGCTCGTTACTAGGTGGTATATATATATATATAATAATAATAATAATAATAATAATAATAATAATAATAATAATAAATGTCGGCGAGGTGACACGATGTCTCCTTTTTCAGCGATGTCGCCGAGGTGATGCGATGTCACCTTTTATAAAAATATTTATATATAATTTTTTTTATATATAAATATATATATTTATAGATAAATATTTTTATATAAATATTTATATTAAAAATATATATATAAGATTTTGGCGACATTGCTGAGGCTACGTCGCCTCGTTTTTCTGCGACTTCGCCGAATTTTTATTTTATTATATATATATACATACATATATATATATATATATACGTACATATATATACACACACACACACATATATGTGTATATATATATATGTGTATATATATATGTGTATATATATATGTGTATATATATATATGTGTGTGTGTATATATATAT